GGCCGCCCGCGGCTGTCAGCTGCCCTCCGAGTGGAGACCCCTGAGCGAGGGCTGCCGCGCCGAGCTGGCCGAGATCATCGTGTACGCCAAGGTGCTGGCGCTGCACCAGGAGGTGCACGGCCTGTACAACTACCTGCCGTGGCAGTACGAGGCCAGCGACGCGGGGCTCTTCTACTCGGCCGAGATCGAGATGCTGTGCGACCAGGCGTGGGGCAGCATGCTCGAGGTGCCCGCGGGCTCCAGACTCAACCTCACTGGCCTGGGCTACTTCTCGTGTCACTCCCACACCGTGGTCCAGGACTACTCGTACTTCTTCTTCCTCAGGTGAGCGCGGCACGTCCCGCCCACTCCTTCTCCTGCAGCTATCCGCGTGACTTCCCGAGGGCCCCGTTATCCGGAGCCAGGTCAGGAACAACAGGGAATCCTGTCCGTACCATTTTGGAATACGCCTTGGGCTCCTTTCCTTACTCTCTATTCTCTCTGCTCCGTGGGACGTCTCGACAAAGGTCCTGGGGTGTATTTGGCTAAGGCTGTTAAAACACAGAACAACACCCCAAGACAGGGATGATTTCAGTGCTTAAAGCGTTGAAGAGTGTTTCAGGCAAAAGCCCAAAATAGTTTCCAAAAATCCATTTGACTCTTCTTTAGATTTATACTTTTAATTGGATTCCCTGGGAGTAGCTTGGGGTGGTGAGGGGGGGTAAACACCAGACTTTGAAATCAGATTCTCGTTGGAATTCTGGCTCTGCTCTTCCTGTGATTTCTGAGCAAATTGTCTTTTGAAGAACCTCCGGATCCTCAGTTCCATAATGTGAGAAACCGGGTTATGCCGAGCACCTGGTGCAGGTTAGCTGCAGAAGGAATAGTCACTCTTTTCCCCACCTGCTTAAATGCCAGGATAGGCATGGTGTGGAATGCCGCGCAGCTGTCCCTTTGTTTCACCCCCTTATCCACCACCAGCAGACCTCAGCGCTGGGCTTTTCAAAATAGCAAAGGTTTATGTGGGGGCCTGCTGGGGGGTGGGGCGGGGAAGACCTGGCTTGTAGTGCTTTGAAGAGTATAGGTGAAGCAGGCAGGAGGTTCTCTCTGACTGGAGACTCCTGGAATCCTGTCAAGTTCCATGAAAGTTGGCCTGCAGTCAATTCGTGTGTATAAGAATTCAGTCAATGGGTTTGAAGCAGGTGGAACCCTAAATGCATTGGCTCTCTCCCGTTGAATTAGAGTGATGTAGAGCAGCTGAGAGAAGCCTTGAACTGGAATGTAACCTACCTATCAAGCTAGTGAGTGAATTAATCCACAGTTGAGGCTGGTACTGGTTCCAGTCTTCCCAGTCCCTGAAGCGGCAACAAGGACTTTTGGAATGGCTAGGACCCCAGTCTGCGGATTCACTTTTAACCTCTTGAGATTTCACATCCCTCTGAGAAAGAAAACCGTGAGATCCACCGAGGGGCGTTCATAAGCTCATGGCAACACATGTTTCCCGTGCTGAAGCCAGAACCTCTAAGTTTAGATTACATGGCGTGCTTTGTGTTGGCTTGAGTGGTTTAGTGAGATTAAGTTGTTTTTCTTTTCTTTCTTTTTAATTGCTGGGGAAGTATAGTTTCTAAATAAAGTCAGCAAGGAGTGAGCTAGTATCCTTGATACAGAGAAACTTAACTCAGATTTCTCATGTTTCTCTTGAGGAAAGATACTGAGACCCCAGCTATAAAGCTATTAATCACTGAAACTTTATTTTCCAAAGAAAAAAGAGCTGGAGGACTTGAGCAGACGTTATTTTTTCCTGATTTTTATCATGACAGAGCTTTGTCCAGTGGCTCTGTGGTGGTCAGCCAGCTCTTTTTTTTTTTTTTTTAAAGATTTTTTTTTTATTTATTTGAGAGAGAGAATGAGAGAGAGAGAGAGCACATGAGAGGGGGGAGGGTCAGAGGGAGAAGCAGGCTCCCTGCCGAGCAGGGAGCCCGATGCGGGACTCGATCCCGGGACTCCAGGATCACGACCTGAGCCGAAGGCAGTTGCTTAACCAACTGAGCCACCCAGGCGCCCTCAGCCAGCTCTTTAATCTTTCCCTCTGACATATTTACAAAAAGTTAGGGCAGAAATACAGAGTCAACTGGTAGTCTGACAGATTTCCATTTCACAGGGCTGTGTTGCCCTGAAGTTAACAACTGCATACAAATCATTCCTCCCCTGTTATTCTGGGACCCAGTGAGACAAGAACAGATTCTGGGCAGTGTCACAGGGGAAAGTGGCAGTGGAGGCTCCCTGGTGAGCCCTACATCCCCTCTTTGTGCTGGAGGGTAACTTCGACCTCTTCTCCCTCTGCGTGATTTCTTTATCTTTCCAACAGGTGATTTATTCTTAGCTCTATAAAAATGTTAACATCTCTATTGCATTCACTCTATGCCAGACACTTTATCTAATGCAGTCCTTCCACTACCAGCAAGAAAGTGCTATTCTCCTCCTCTTTTTACAGACTGGAATAGTGAAGCTTAGATAATCGAGGAAATTCATCTCTCTTTCGATAGAAGATCAGTAGCAATGGCAGGATTCAAACCTGGGTCCTTAGAACTGGCTTTCCTTTGATCAAGAAACAAGGAACACTCGGTGAGAAAGAAGGCCACTTGGGAGACCTACAAGTAGACAAACACATATGCATCCCCACCCCCTGCAGCCCTTCACCTAAACTCCCCTCTGGGAAAACCTTAAGGATAGACTCATGCAGTGTGAGGCAGAGAAACATTTAGAAATAGTAAGTCCTGTAATGAGAGCCATGTGAGACCTAGTGGGGTAATGGCAAGACCGTCAGTCTTTACAACTCTTGATTAAGGCCGCTATACCCTGTGGCTGTCCAGTCTACAGTTCTGCTTTTTTTCTTTTTTTCCCATTAGGATGGATGAGAATTATAATCTCTTGCCTCACGGAGTCAATTTCCAAGATGCCATCTTTCCAGACACTCAAGAGAACAGAAGGATGTTTTCCAGCCTTTTCCAGTTTTCGAACTGTTCTCAAGGGCAGCAGTTGGCAACTTTTTCCAGTGACTGGGAGATCCAGGAAGACAATAGGGTAAGAACTGGCTGTTCCCTGGGTCACAGCAAAATAATAGACCAACTACACCTTGTCTGAATTCCGTGACCAAAGGAGTCAAGAGTGCTCTTCCAGAAGCCCAGACCAAAGAGTATTATCCCTCCTGTTACTCTGGCCGTTAAAAACAAAACAAAACAAACCCCAAAACACTGCTCATAAACTGGATTCCTGAGGCTTTACTCTGGGGTTCCTCATAAAGTGAGAGAACAGATGGAATGAAGGTTGGCACATGGCCTCAGTTTCCTTTTCTGTGTAATGGAAACCGTCTACATCATAAGGTTGATGCAATATGATTTAACTATGTAAAAAAAAAAAAATATTAAAGCCTTTAACCTAGTGCCTGGCAGAGTAAGTACTCAGCACATGAGAGCTGTTAGGACTATTATATCATTACTGTCATTGATTGCATAAGGCTCTAGGGACTCTTCTAAGGGAGAAGAAAAAGTCCTCAAAGAAATGGTTGTCCGAGCTAACACTTTCATGATTGTTAACTCTAGTTGTGAAGACCTAGAGGTACAGGGTGGCCAAAGTGGTTGTGGAATTGTAAGGGTTAAGATAATTTGGGGTCTGAAGATATAAAAGGGACCTGCCCATCTGGGACAGATGCCAGAGTTGGAGGCAGATTTTGAAGACTGTCCCTTTCCCAAACGGCATTACCATACTGGAGCTGGGATGATGTAAGACTGGGTCAGTAAAGGAGGTGGCCCCAGTCCCAGTCTCCCATCCGAGATGTCTTTAGGACAGTGTGACAGACTGCTGGGAGCATTCTGATGTGGGGTTTGAGGTATCCCATGGGACAAGGACTATTTTTATGGGTTGATGAATTAATTTGCACATGGTAAGTGGCTCCCATGGGTCCCCAAGTCTAGAAGTGTAAAATGGTAGTCAGTGGAGTTTCTCTCCCACCTCTGGTGCCCGCCCAACCCGGTTCCCACCTACTCTACAAACAAGTAGCTATTGTTCCTAGTTTCTTATAAATGTTGGAGTATTTCCATCCAACAAATAATTCAAACTTGTGTTATTTACTGTTGTCTTTGACACAAATGGTAGCCCACTATGCACACTTTGCTGTGCATTGCTTTTATTCACAAGTACATTCTGAAGATCTTTCTATATCAATGCAGATAAAGTTGCCTTAAAGGCTGCCTAGTGTGTTCCATTGTGTGCATGTGTCACAATATATTTGATCAGGTCCTCTGTTAATAGGTGGTTAGGTTGGTTTCCAATACTTAGCTATTACAAAGAGTGTGGACATGGAGGATATTATACATACCTCATTTTGTGGGACTGCAGAGTCCAATCTTTAGCCAATATTGTGTGCCTACTATAAAGAGCTACTGTGTTAGATGCTAGTTTTTCAATGTTGAGCAAAATACAAAGTGCCTGTTCTCCTGGAGTGTGTAGTACTAGTGTTGGTGATTGACAGAATCAAAAGACCCCATTAATGATTGCATACTTTTAAATGGAAACCTATGCTCCGACAAAATCCAGGAATCTGGCCTAGACTTAAGGGTAAAGAAAGCCTTCTCTGTTGACTTGATACTGGAGCTAAGATCTGATGGATGAAGAGGCATCCTAGTTAATGTTGGGATCAAGGAGAGAGGAGTGCAGTCCAAAGTCCCTGTGGTGGCAGAGTTCATGGTGCCTTTGAGGGAATGAAAGAAAGCTACTTGTCTGGAGCAAAGGGAGTGAGTGAGAAGGATGGGACAAGAGCTGGAGGTGGGGCTAGATCTAGTGAGGATTTTGGCTTTGTCCTAACTGTAATGGGAAACCTTTTATGTTGTGAAAGGAAGGGGCGATGGGGATCAAATTTACATTTTGAAAGACCAACTGGGTTGGAAGGAATCCAAATGATGTGGTGAGAACAGGTAGTAGTTATAAAAGCTACCAGGTAGTTGCTGGACTATGGTAGAGGCAGTAGGGATGGAGTAAAGTGGAAGAATTGGGAAGAGATTTAGAAAATAAGTAGGTGTTCCTGATGGTTTGGTTGCAAAGGAGGTGGAGGAAGGTCAAAGATAACTCCTGGGTTTCTGGCATGTGAACTGCATGCCAGAACAGACACGGAGAAATGTGAATAGGAAAGGTTTGGTAGGGGAATTCATAGGTCAGATGCTGAACGTACAGAGTTGAGGTGTTTTTGAGCCATCTGAGCCATTTTGCGCCAAGTGAGATCTTGAATAGTGGTTGGATCTATCCGTTCAGAGCTTTGAGAAGAGCTCTAAGTGGCAGATAGACCTTGGGACTTAACAATAATTAGATGTCAGTTGAGGCTGGATGTGAATGAGATTTTCAAGGGAGAGCACATAGAGCAAAATATAGGCCCTAGGGTAGGACTGAGCCTTGTGGAATGCGAATACTGGTTGAGAAGGAACAGTCAGAGAGGTAGAAGAGTCAAGGAAAGCTAGAAGAGTCAAGGGTAACAGAGTGTTTCTAGAAGAATGAGTGATCATCAGAGTCAAAAGCTGTTGAGAAGTCAAGTAAAATGATGACTGAGGAGTAACCTCTCTTTGGTGACCTAAATGAGGACAGTTTCCGTAATATGAGGGAGTAAGGTGGTGGGGCATGCGTGAGGGTAGACAACTCTTTGATGAAGTTTGCCTGTGGATGGTTTAATACATATAATAAGGCTGCAGGTGAAGCGTAGAATAGTTGAGGGGAGGGATTTTGTTGTGTTTAAAGATGGCAGCCTGTTCACACCACTTGGTCTCTGTTTTCCTACTCCTCAGACGCTGTCTATTCAAGTCGACTGAATGACCCAAGGGCAGGGATATCTGTTTTGTTTACTGTTGTATACTTGGTGCATTTTTTTATGGGTCTTACACATTTGTTAAATGAATCCTGTCTCTCATCCAGACAGATCTGATGTCTAAGGAAGCAGAAGCCTCTGTCTCTTTCTGCCTCATTTTCTACATTAAGATCGAAAATCCATATACAGTAAAAATCACTCTCTTGCATATGCTGTTATGAGTTTTAATAAATGCACATTACCGTATAATCACAACTACAACCACAGTGCGGAAAAGTACCATCACTGAAGAGAACCTCCCTTCTGCCCTCTTTTTGGTCAGACCCTACCCTCACCTGAACTCACGGGAACCACTGATATGTTCTCCAACACTAGTTGTGCATTTTCCAGACTGTCCTATGAATGGAATCTACAGTATGTTGTTTTTTTTTTTTAATTTTGGCTGCTTTTACTTAGCATAATACATTTAAAATTGTGTTGTTTATTAGTAGTTCACCTTGTTTTTAATTACTGAATATTCCATTGTAGGGATGTATCATGGTTTTATTTATCCAGTCATCAGTTGAGAGAGATTTAAGTTCACAAATTTAGACTACTAGACCTTCCATAAAGACACATGTACAGGTTTTTGTATGCACATAAATTTCAGTGTGTCTTCGGTAAATACCTAGGATGGGTTTGCTGGGTCATACGGTAAGTGTGTGTCTAACTTTGTAAGAAACTGCAAAACTGTTTATGAGAACAGCAAAGTTTTGCATTCGTATTAGCAATGTATGCAAGCTCTAGTTCTGCATCCTCATCAGTACTTGGTATGGTCAGAAAAAATAGACTTTCTAATAGGTGTGTGGTAGTATCTCATTGTGTGCGTGTGTCTGGTTGGTTCTTAGATTCCACATCTAAGCTCATATGGTAATTGTCTTACTCTGTCTAACTTATTTCACTTAGCATAATGCTCTCAAGGTCCATCCTTCGTCCATTGTTGCAAATGGCAGGATCTCCTTTGTAAAGGCTAGATAATCTTTGTGCATATATATACGCCACAGTTTCTTTATCCCTTCATCTGTCAGTGGACATGTAGGTTGCTTCCCTGTCTTGGCTATTGTGAAAAATGTTGCACTGAACATGGGAGCGCAGATAAGTCTTCAAGGTACTGATTTCATCCAGTTTGGGTTTATATCCAGAAGTGGGATTGCTGGATCATTTGGTAGTTCTATTTTTAATTTTTAAAGGAACCTCCATACTGTTTTCCATAGCAGCTGTATCAGTTTACATTCCCACTAACAGTGTATGAGGGACCTACCTCCTTTCCACATCCTTGCCAATACATGGTATCTTCTAGTTTTTGGATAATAGCTGTCTTAACACGTGCAAGGTGATACCTTATGGTGCTTTTGGTTTATATTTCCCTGATGATTAATGATGCTGAGCATGTTTTTGTGTGTGCTGGCCCTCTGTATGTCCCTGGAAAAGTGTCTAGTCAGGTCCTCTGCCCATTTTTTATTTTAAAGGTTTGTTTTTTTTAAGATTTTATTTATTTATCTGAGAGAGAGAGAGAGCGCACATGAGAGGGGGGAGGGTCAGAGGGAGAAGCAGACTTCCTGCCGAGCAGGGAGCCTGATGTGGGACTCGATCCCGGGACTCCAGGATCATGACCTGAGCTGAAGGCAGTCGCTCAACCAACTGAGCCACCCAGGCGCCCCTCTGCCCATTTTTAAAAAAAATTTAAACTCAATTTAGTTAACATATAGTGTATTATTAGTTTCAGGGGTAGAATTTAGTGATTCATCAGTTACATATAACACCCAGTGCTCATTACATCAAGTGCCCTCCTTAATGCCCATCATCCAGTTACCCCTTCCCCCACCCACCTCCCTTCCAGTAACCCTCAGTTTGTTGCCTATAGTTAGGAGTCCCTTAGGATTTGCCTCCCTCTCTGTTTTTGTCTTATTTTATTTTTCCTTCCCTTCCTCTATGTTCATCTGTTTTGTCTTTTAAATTCCACATGAGTGAAATCACATGGTATTTGTCTTTCTTGGACTATTTTGCTTAGCATAATACCCTATAGTTCCATCCACGTCATTGCAAATGGCAAGATTTCATTCTTTTTGATGGCTGAGTAAAATTCCACTGTGTATATATATATATATACCACATCTTCTTTATCCATTCATCTGTTGATGGACATCTGGGCTCTTTCCATATTTTGGCTATTATGAACATTGCTGCTATAAAC